CAGACCGGGAGGGGGAAACACATATCATAAACACATCAGCCTCTGACTTCTTCCGGGTGACCACCTACTTCCGCTTTTACGACTGTTCCCTTGCTTTGCAGTAGCTGGTCCCGGCTATGGACGTGTTGGAGGGTCTGTTCGGTAGTGATGGCGAGTCAGAACCCGAGCAGAAAAGGGAAGGTGAGTGGGGTGAGGTGCGGTTGTCATACATTTCCATTGCAGTGTGGTCGGTATTCGGCTCCCAGAGGAGTGATCAGTACCGGGGGCTCCCACTGTGATCACACTCAGGTGTACTGGAGGGGACATGTGACTGTGTGAGCATTGTAGAACTACGACTCCCAGCATGCTCTGCCTTCCATTGGTGTGTACAGGGGGATGATAGTCGGGGGGCTCCCAATCCTTATGCAGCTGAACAGACTTCCTGGGGGATCATGTGTATTAAATCGGGGGGAACGGTAATAGCTGGGGGATCAGTGTGATCTGATCACATACTGTATATTAGATCTGGAGTCGGTGGTAGCTGTGGGGTTGGTGATTGCTCCAGGATCGGTGATCTGATCATGTATATTAGATCTGGGTTCAGTGACCTGATCACTGGTGGCAGATCTGGGGTCGGTGACCTGATCACTGGTGGCAGATCTGGGGTCGGTGACCTGATCACTGGTGGCAGATCTGGGGTCGGTGACCTGATCACTGGTGGCAGATCTGGGGTCGGTGACCTGATCACTGGTGGCAGATCTGGGGGCAGATCGGTGACCTGATCACTGGTGGCAGATCTGGGGTCGGTGACCTGATCACTGGTGGCAGATCTGGGGTCGGTGACCTGATCACTGGTGGCAGATCTGGGGTCGGTGACCTGATCACTGGTGGCAGATCTGGGGTCGGTGACCTGATCACTGGTGGCAGATCTCTAGAAATGGTTGCCGTATACCATCTGTGTTGTATTTGAAGTTTTACTTCCTGTTCCGGAGACACAATAGGTAGTGAAAAACAAATCTCTGGATATGGGGTCAGTGATCTATCTGATCATGTATATTAGATCTGGGCTCGGTGATCTGATCATGTACAGTGCATCCAGAAAGTATTCACAGCGCTTAACTTTTGACACATTTTGTTATGTTACAGCCTTATTCCAAAATGGATTAAATTCATTTTTTTCCTCAACATTCTACAAACAATACCCCATAAGGACAAAGTGAAAGAAGTTAGTTTTGAAATCTTTGCAATTTATTAAAAATAAAAACCGAAAAAAAAACACATGTACATAAGTATTCACAGCCTTTGCCATGACACTCAAAATTGAGCTCTGGTGCATCCTGTTCCCACTGATCATCCTTGAGAACTTGATTGGAGTCCACCTGTGGGAAATTCAATTGATTGGACATTATTAGGAAAGGTATAGACCTGTCTATATAAGGTCCCACAGGTAGTAGTGCATGCCAGAGCACAAACCAAGCCATGAAGTCCAAGGAATTGTCCGTAGACCTCCGAGACAGGATTGTATCAAAGCACAGATCTGGGGAAGGGTACAGAAAAATTTCTGCTGCATTGAAGGTTCCAATGAGCACAGTGGCCTCCATCATCCGTAAATGGGGAGAAGATTGGAACCACCAGGAATCTTCCTAGAGTGGGCCGCCCGGCCAAAATGAGCATTCGAGGAAGAAGGGCCTTAGCCAGGGAGGTAACCAAGCACCTGATGGTCACTCTGAAAGAGCTCCAGCGTTTCTCCGTGGAGAGAGAAGAACCTTCCAGAAGAACAACCATCTCTGCAGCACTCCACCAATCAGGCCTGTATGGTAGAGTGACCAGATGGAAGCCACTCCTCAATAAAAGGCAAATAGCAGCCTGCCTGGAGTTTGCCAAAAGACACCTGAGGGACTCTCAGACAATGAGAAATAAAACTTTCTGGTGTGATGAAACAAAGGTTGAACTCTGACCTGAATGCCAAGCGTCATGTCTGGAGGAAACCAGGCACCGCTCACCACCTAGCCAATACCATCTCTACAGTGAAGCATGGTGGTGGTAGCATCATTCTGTGGGGATATTTTTTCAGTGGCAGGAACTGGGAGACTAGTCAGGATCGAAGAAAGGATGAATGCAGCAATGCACAGAGACATCCTTGATGAAAACCTGTTCCAGAGTGCTCTGGACCTTAGACTGGGGTGATGATTCATATTTCAACAGAACAACGACCCTAAGCACACAGCCCACATAACAAAGGAGTGCCTACGGGCCAACTCTGTGAATGTCCTGGAGTGGCCCAGACTTGAATCCGATTGAACATCTCTGGAGAGATCTGAAAGTGGCTGTGCACTGATGCTCCCCATTCAACCTGATTGAGCTTGAGAGGTACTGCAAAGAAGAATGGGAGAAAATTGCCCAAAAATAGGTGTGCCAAGCTTGTAGCATCATACTCAAAATGACTTGAGGCTGTAATTGGTGCTAAAGGGGCTTCAACAAAGTATTGAGCAAAGGCTGTGAATACTTTTGTGCATGTGTTTGTTTTTTATTTTCAATAAATTGCAAAGATTTCAAAATGAATTTCTTTCACATTGTCCTTATGGGGTATTGTTTGTAAAATGTTGAGGAAAAAAATAAATTTCATCTATTTTGGAATCGGGCTGTAACATAAAATGTGTCAAAAGTTAAGCACTGAGAATACTTTCTGGATGCACTGTATATTAGATCTGGGGTTGGTGATCTGATCACGGCTGGTAGATCTCTAGAAATGGTTGTTGTATACCATCTGTTTTCTATTGGGATTTTACTTCCTGTTCCAGAGACACAGCAGGTATTGAAAAAAATTGTCTGCTTGGTAAGGGGAAAGTTTTGTTGTCAGTACAATGGGTGACCCTGTTGGAAGATTTCCCCTCTTCCACTCTTACATTTTGAATCTCTCACCATCTTCTATCCAGGTGATAAGTCACCATAACAAGCAGAGAGGGGGAATCTCCTTGACAAGGACTCAGACAGTGATAAATAAGTCTTGGGGCTTTATTGCTGAACTGAAGGGAAAGTAAAAATTCTCCCCCTGGGGTGGCCTCCACACTTCAGGGATCAAATACTTGTGTAGGGGCGGGAAAAGCCATTTTGCTCACCCAATCCTCCACTCCAACAAGTGCCCTCCAGGCTGTATAGCTGGCTGTACATGGTTCAGTTTTTAACATTCAGCCCACAGGCTGAACAACAAAAACTGACCCAATTGCTCCATTCACACATTCAAGGTGGATGGGGGAATCAACCCCGCTGTGATATTGTATCCTGACATCGGGGAGACTTCCCCACTGTCAGAATACACAGATCAGCACTGCAGCTGCTGATCGAGTGACTTTTATCCAACAGGGTCGTTGAACAGAAGTTGATAAGTAGATCAACTTATTTTTAACTGCAGTGGCCACACATGGAACCAAATCCAGCCAGTCCCTGCTAAACTAGCCATTTTTCAATCCATCGATGTCCTCCTTAAGACTGGTCTTGGCGGCTGCTTCTTCCCTACATTCAGTCAATCAGAGTTCCACTGACATAATCAAGTACAACGCAGAATGCATGTGGGAATGCGGGACGTGAGGATGCCGAGGGACAGTCAAGGAGTAGAGGAGAGCGCATATAGACCTGGCAGAGACCTGCGAGGTGTGCCAAGATGGTGGTGCGGAAGCACATTGATAAAGAAGGAAACTGAGATGGAAGGATAAGAACTCTATAGACTTCTATGTGTGTGTGTGTATATAGATTATTTTTTTTTTTTGTGTGTTACACACAGGAACAATTGCCAGGGAATACGAAAAATCACTAGGTTCCTCTTTAACACCCAATTCCAGGAATTAGAAAAAAATCTACCTTGCAGTGGTATGCTCATTTGGGCCTAGTGGTGCATGAATAAAGAGGAACACTTACTTTCTTCTGTACTCCAGCGGGGTCCCTCCAGCAGTGTGAACAGTCAACTGCAGTCTCCTTTCTAAGCTGCTGATGGCTGTGGTTGCATGCTCATCCCCTCCATGTGCAATGCATGGTAAACAGCCCTATATTGTACATGATGACACTGGGACTGCTCAGACAGGAGCTTCGAGGGGGAGATGGGAACGGCACTGGAGTGGGAAGTTGGATAAGTAATCATGCCTGTGCCTCTACTCTCTAGACAAGATGAGTATTTAACCCTTGTAGCATAGGCTCGCTGCAAGGGTAGATATTTTCCCATTGGGCTTAAAGTGGAAGTTCACCTTTCTAGAAATGATGAAAAGGTGAACAAGTGCTCTACAACCTCCCCAGTCCCCGCTATACTTACCTTCATGGGTAATTATCTGTCAGTGCTCACACTGTCCTTTTAGTGATCTCGGGATTTGAAATCCCTGTTCTTCTTCTCCCTCTTTTTGTAGGGCTTCCGGGATCGGGATACTAATTGGTCAGCACTGGCATGTGACCACTTTGACCATTCAGAATCACTCTGCTCTGTCCCTGGAAGCCCTACAGAAAGAAAGGGAAGAAGAACAGGGATTTCAATTCGACAGAATGCTGCACCAGCTGCGTGGACACTGACAGCGCATCACCCAAAAATTTAAGTACAGGAAGTGTGGGGTGTTCACCTCTTCATTTTTCTTGAAAAGGTGAACTAACCCTTTAAGACAGGGGAAGGAGGGTGAACTACCAGTAAGTGAGATTTTATGTTTTAGGTTTGTATGCACATTTACAACCCCTGTATGGGCTTTTCAGGTCACTGCAGTGCATTACAATGGTCCCTGCACTTTCCTTCTATGTAGTATGAGTTGAGGAGGCCCCTAGGAATGAATTTTGCATATAACACTTTTATTTGGAAAAGATAATTACAAAGAAGAGAGATAACTATACAGAGCTGTGTATTCACCATTTAGGGATAATAATTAAAAGAGCGCTGTAGTGGCCTTATACGAGAAGGGTTGATAAGAGAGTGCCTATGAGATCAGAGATCAGCACCCACTATATGTTTTTATTAGAAAATTATTATAATTTTTTTGTTTTTTATTCTAGACTCTGATTCACAGTCCGTCTCTGATTCAGAACCAAGGAACATTGGCTCGGTTAGTAATCCTTCTGGGAGTGACAGTGAACGGGACGATGATGATGATGATGGACATTCTACTGTGAAACCCAGCAATAAAGAATTGTTTGGCGATGACAGTGAGGATGAAGCGGGCTCTCAGCACAGCGGTAGTTACAATCGTTCAGAGAGGTCAGATGATCAGTCTGAAGGTAATGTTCAATCCGATCAAGAAAACGATCAGTCAGATGCTGAACAGCATAGCGGTTCTGAACATTATCATGATGAAGACAATGATGAAGATGGAGGGCACAAATCTGATCACAGTAGCCGTCACTCAGATATTGAGGGCTCAGAAAAAGAAGCTCATTCTGAGGATGAAAAGTGGGCCAGGGATGATAAAAGCGATCAATCAGACGAAGAGGAAAAAATGCAGAACTCCGATGATGAGGTCCAGCATTCTGATGAAGAGGGTAACCTTCGATCGGATGATGAGATGAACAGGCAGTCTGATGGAGAGGACCATGAAAACCACCAGTCTGATGGTGAAGATCACAGGCAGCAGTCAGACGATGAGGACAATGAACACAGACATTCTGATTATGAGAGGCAGCACTCTGATGGAGACTACCATGACCATCAGCAATCAGACGATGAGGAGCTAAAAATTCAACATTCAGATGATGAACTGGAGCGGCAGAGATCAGATGATGAGCAGCAGCACTCTGATGATGACGATCAGGAGCACAGACAGTCAGACGATGAACGTCAACATTCAGATGATGAAGAAAATGAGCGACATCGATCAGACGATGAGCCACAGCATTCTGATGGTGAAGAACAAGATCACAAATCAGGTTAGTTGTACTGAGCTCTCTTTTAAAGTAGAATTCCAGAATATACCTAACTAATCTTAAAAATGCTACCCAATCTCTTCTAACTTGTATAACAAAGATGTATATACTTGCCTATTTCAGGCCGCTCAAACTTCTCAATTTCTTGGTGTCTTTTGTAGTGTCTGGAAAAGGAAGTGATAGTGAAGAGGAGATTGTTCAAAAGAGGCATAAGAAGGCAATAGCGTCGGACACTGATGAGGATAGTGACGCAGAAGCTGGTAAAGGTATACTCCTATTCTGTTTGTAAAGCCAGCCTTCGTTTCAGCACAGATATTGGCAAATGTTTAACTACTTCCCGCCCTGCTTATAGTAAAATGACTGCCAGGCGAACCTCTCGTCCCTCTGGTAGGGCGTCATATGACGTCCTTCCCGCATCGGGCTTTGCGCGTGCCTTCAGGGCCGTAGATGTGGCGAGATCTGTCACCGACTGTGTACCTCGGACACGACCGATGACAGATCTGTGTACCATATGACCTGCTGTGACCAATCACAGCAGGTCACATGACAGTTGTATAAAATGGATGCCTTCCTTTCATGCCATCCATTGTATACAAGTTTGTCTAGTTGTGAATGGTCACAGTGATCACATGCACAGGCTGGGCCAATTACAGCCCATCTGTTTCATGTGATTAGCCATGGCCAATCACAGCTAGTCACAACAAAAAAACCTGAATGAATCAATTTCATTCAGTTAAATGCTTGCTTAGAGCAAAGAAATTATTTGCTATAAGCAATCAAATTGTGTAAAAAAATAAATAAATAAATAAAAAAAATAAAAAATACTGATCACTTCCCCAAAGTAGTACAATGTTACTATGGTAACATTATACTACTTTGGTTATAGTGTAATATAAAAAAAAGTAACTAAAAAAATCTATACATTTTTTCCGAGTCATCTTCTAGGACAGCTCACTTGAGAGATAGGGCTCCTCCCAGGAAACACCCGCTCCACCTTTTTTTTTTTTTTTTTTTTCCCTTTATAGGCGTCCTCTCTCCCATTGGCCCCCAGTTTTAGTGTTTCCTCCGGCCAGGAAGGAGCTACGCCCGTTTTTTATTTTTGTCTGGGCTCTCTGGCGGAGTACAGAGGGTCCCTGGCTGAGGCCCCCCCTTCCTCCAAGCGAGGCAGGGGCCTTGTGAGGGGGGGGACCTTTCAGCCAGTTTCACACTGGAATGCCCGTTGTAGGGTGGGGGCGTCGGCCCCAGATGGTCCCAGCGGGGCTCTCCAGGGGGGTAGAGCCCGCTCCGCCGACCGAGGCATTGGTGCCTTTCCCTGCGGGGTTTCAGGTAAGTCTTACCTGCTCCTGGATCCTGGCAGCATGGCCAGGAGGCTCGGCTGCGGAAGGTCTGGACGCTGCGATCGCGTCACTTCCGGGCGCCGGGTGTCGTCACTTCCGGCGCAGGAGCATGGAACGGCCGCCGCCATCTTGGAAATGGGCGGCGGACCGTGGAAGGAACCCGTGCCACGGCCGCTTCTCCACCGGCGGCCGTGAGAGGGGGGTCGGCGAGGGGGGATCGCAGGGGGGGGGGGGGCGGAGCCCACCAGCCCTGAAAAACCGCCGCACCGAGGCAGAGTCTGCGGCAGCATGGAGGCAGATCTGTCAGGAGCGGGGGAGGCCTGCAGTAAGGTAAGGGCCTTTGTTTGGCAACTCTCTTTTGTTTTTACCCCCCCCCCCCCCCCCCCCCCCCCCCCCCCCCCCCCCCCCCCCCCCCCCCCCCCCCCCCCCCCCCCCACCCCCCCCCCCCCCCCCCCCCCCCCCTCCCGAGATAATTGGGTACCCCCCACGCACACACAGCCTCCCTCTCCCCCCCCCCAGGCCCACGGCTGGAGCTTTCACAGTGGCACAGGGGGGGAGGCGTTACTGTTACAAACGCATGAACGCGTGTATCTCCTTGTCCCCAGATGGGCCCACAGGAGGAGGATAGAGGGGAGAAAGAAGCTCCTTGTGAGCAGAAAAAGAAGTGTGCCACTTGTAGGAAGAAACTGGCGAGCTCCTGGAGGAAGCAGCTCTGCCAGGGGTGCATAGACAAGCTCATCAAGGAGGAGTCTGGATCTCTTTTTAAAGACTTCCTACAGAATATGACACAAGAGATGTCCAAGACATTTCAAAGCTTCAGGGAACAGAAGCCGGGGCCGGCCCAGGATGAGCCCCAACCGGGCACTTCTGGCACCCAAGGGGGGAAAAAGAGGAAGCTGGACAAGGTAGCGCCGGTAAGGGACTGGGAAGAGGCCGAACAGTCGGACACCTCAGACTCGGAGGAGGGTGAGATTGAGGCTCAGGGCCCAAAGGCAGACAGGTTCCTTTTTCAGGTGGAAGACACGGAGGACCTGTTAAAGGTGATCTATGAGACCCTGGATCTGGAGGAGGAACAGCAGGACCTCTCTCTCCACGACCAACTGTACGCAGGGCTACAGGCAAAAAGCAGCCGTACATTCCCAGTACACCCTGCCCTATGGTCCACGATCAGGAGAGAATGGGAAGAGCCAGAGAAGAAGGCTTTCCTTCCCAAGAACCTCAAGAGACGTTTCCCCTTTAAGGAGGAAGATGCCTCGGTTTGGGAGACTTGCCCAAAGCCAGACGCCCCTCTCGAGGATCTCGAAGGACACGGACCTGTCCTTTGAAGACGGTGGGTCCCTAAAGGACCCGATGGATCGGAAAGCGGATGCCTTCCTGAAGAGGGCATGGGAAGCGTCCGCAGTGAATTTTAAACCTGCAGTGGCAACGACCTGCGTGTCCAGAACCCTGGATGTGTGGTTGGGGCAGCTCCGTTCGCATCTGGAACAAGGCACCCCGGGGGAAGAGATTCTGAAATCCCTTCCGGTGCTGGAGAAAGCGGTAGCCTTCATCGCGGACGCATCAGCAGAGACCATCAGACTCTCTGCTAGATCTACAGCGCTCATAAACACGGCGAGGAGGGCTATCTGGCTGAAATCTTGGCAGGGGGATCTGGCCTCCAAGTCTAAACTCTGTGGCCTGCCGTTTGAAGGAAAACTCCTTTTCGGCCCGGAGCTGAATTCAGTCCTGGAAAGGTCGGCCGACAGGAAAAAGAGCTTCCCGGTCCCCAGCAGGCAGGTTGGACGGAAGGGGTTTCGCCCATCCAGGCGATACACGTCGAGGGAAGCTAGGTTCCAAACCCAGCGCCCAGGCTGGGGCGCGAGAAGAGGCAGGAACGAGCCGAGAGGGCAGGGGAGGGTTCCTTTTCAACCCCAGCCAGAATAGACCCAAAACCCAGCCGAAGTGACTGGAGAGGCCAGGTGGGAGCGAGGCTGGGGCGCTTCCACGCACAATGGCTAAGGATAACCCAGAACACCTACATTCTGGAGGCCATCCACAGGGGGTACAGAATAGAGTACACAAGGGCCCCCCCTCAGAGATTCTTTGCAACACCCCTGCCAAAGGACAGGGCCATGGCGGATGCGGTTGGTGGACCTCCTACAAGATATGCTCAGTCAGAACGTTATCTGCTAGTTGAGAGAAGAGGAAAGGGGAAGTGGATTCTTCTCCCATTTCTTTCTAAGGAAAAAACCGTCAGGTACTTACAGGATGATATTGAATCTTCGGAAGGTGAACGAGTTCGTGAGGCCCAGCAAGTTCCGTATGGAATCCATATACACGGTGAAGGAACTCCTTTCACCTGGGGTGTTTATGGCCTCGATAGATCTGCAAGACGCATACCTGCATGTCCCGATAAGAGAAGATTCCAGGAGATTCCTGAGGTTTGCGCTGGAAGGCGAAAAGGGTCCGGTGCTATTTCAGTTCAACACACTCCCCTTCGGCCTGTCGTCGGCCGCCCCGAGGATATTCACCAAGATTCTAGCGGAGCCTTTAAGAGTTTTGAGACTGAAAGGGATAAACATCATCCCCTATTTGGACGACGACCTGCTTTTATTTGCGGACACAGAAGGAGGCCTGAGATCGCACATCGAACGTACGATATCTTTTCTGGAAAGTTTGGGGTGGCTTATCAACAAGGAGAAGTCACAGCTAACCCCCTCCAAGAGGATTACGTACTTGGGGTACGTCCTGGACTCCGCACAGGCCCGATCGTACCTAACATCAGAAAAAGCCCTCAACCTGCGGCAGGACACAAGGGCCCTCCGGAGGATGTCGACCTGCACGGTCAGGACCGCGATGAGAATAATCGGGCGGATGACAGCGGCAATACCAGGGGTGCAATGGGCGCAACTTCACTCCAGGGTTCTGCAAAATCACACCCTTTCCCACTGGGACGGCAGCCGAGCAGGTCTGAGTTCCAGGATCCGCATCACGCACGAAGTGAAGGAATCGCTAAGGTGGTGGGGAAGCATCCTCACCTTGGAACGAGGAAGAAGTTGGAGGCTGGCCAGCCCAGTGCGGATCACCACGGATGCAAGCATGACTGGTTGGGGCGCCCATATGGAAGACGGCCTGGCCCAGGGCACGTGGGGTGCAGTAGACTCCAGCAGGTCGTCAAATTACAGGGAGCTGTTGGCAGTTTTCAAGGCACTTACGACCTTTCAGGAAAAGATAAGGGGGAGAGGTGTCCAGATTCTCTCCGACAATACCACTGCAGTGGCGTATTTGAACAGGCAGGGAGGCACAAGGTCCCCAAGGCTGATGGAGTTGGCCGGATCCCTCCTGAGCTGGGCGGAGGAAAACCTAGAGTTCATCACGGCAGTACATCTGAAAGGGGACCTGAACCAGTTGGCGGATCAGCTGAGCCGAAGAGAGGTCATCCAGACAGAATGGTGCCTCAGCCAGTCAGCGTTCGATCAGATTTGCGCCAGGTGGGGCTCCCCCTCTATCGATCTATTTGCCAACGGCCAGAACACAAAGCGGGAAAGGTACTTCTGCCTGCAGAAGGACCCCAAAAGCGAGGGGATAGATGCGCTAGCCCAGCAGTGGGAAGGAGACCTCCTTTATGCCTTCCCTCCATTCAGACTACTGCCGAAGGTGATACAGAAGATCCAGTTGTCTCAAGCCAAAGTTATTCTGATCGCGCCATTCTGGCCCAAGAGATCTTGGTTCTCCCGGTTGAAGGAGCTCAGTTTAGCAGACCCTTGGATGATGCCACCCACACGCGATTTACTCACCCAAGGGAGGGTGATGCATCCTCATCCAGAAAGGCTGTCCTTAGCGGCGTGGCTTCTGAGCGGGACAGGCTAGCAGAAAAGGGGCTGTCGGCAAGAGTGGTCGCCACCCTCTTGGATGGCCGGAAGAGGTCAACGAACGCCTTGTACGACAAGGTCTGGAAGAAGTTGTCCGCCTGGAAGGTCAGAAACGAAGCACCGGGCACGCCCATTTTGCATACAGTTCTTGAATTCCTTCAAGCCGGGGCGGATAAGAATCTGGCCGCCAATACCCTCAAAGTACAGGTAGCGGCTCTGTCGAACTTTCTCGAGCTGAGGTTGGCGGCAGACCCATTAGTAATCAGATTCCTGAAGGCTATCTCCAGGCGCCGTGCCCCGCCCATGCCAAAACTCCCCACATGGGACCTGGGCACAGTCCTGAAGAGCTTTCAGCGGGGGCCTTTCGAGCCGCTGGATGAGTGTTCGCTCAGATCTTTGACTCTTAAAACCATCCTCCTCACGGCACTAGTTTCTGCCCGCAGGGTCAGCGAGTTGCATGCCCTTTCAGTGATCGAGCCGTACTGCACCATCTTATTGGATAGAATCATCCTCCGCACGGACGCGGCCTTCCTACCTAAGGTCGCGTCACACTTCCATAGATCTCAGGAAATAGTAATACCTTCCCTGGCGGCCGATCCGGACAGCACGGAGGACTATAGCAGGTTAGACGTTAGAAGGTGTTTGATCACGTACATCGAACGCACAAAGACATGGAGACACTCGTCCCGGCTTTTCGTCCTATTCCAGGGGCCAAAGAAGGGGGACGGTGCCTCCAAGGGCACCATCGCCAGATGGATCAGGGAGGCAGTTTCGGAAGGTTACAAGTCGGCAGGCCTGTCACCACCGCCCGGCCTAAAAGCCCACTCCACGAGGGCCACTGCGGCCTCCTGGGCGGAAAAAGGGGGGGCCTCCCCCGGACAGATCTGCAGAGCCGCAACGTGGTCCAGTTTCGCCACCTTCACTAAGCATTACAGGCTGGATCTGATCGGCAGCAAGGACCAGGCATTTGGCAGGAAGGTCCTACAAGCAGGGTGCCCGCCCTAATGTACGTATTTCTATTCTACTCCTCTCAAGTGAGCTGTCCTAGAAGATGACTCGGGAAAACGCAGTTATTTACCTGTTAACTGTATTTCCAGGAATCTTCTAGGACAGCGTAACTCCCCCCCGATTACTGTTTGATCACACAATTATGTGCAGGTATGTTGCGAACCTATGGGGGATATCTTTATTACTGGTTTTCTTCTTTGTTTTCTCCTAGGCCTTCGGTCATATTCTTATACTGGGGGCCAATGGGAGAGAGGACGCCTATAAAGGGAAAAAAAAAAAAAAAAGGTGGAGCGGGTGTTTCCTGGGAGGAGCCCTATCTCTCAAGTGAGCTGTCCTAGAAGATTCCTGGAAATACAGTTAACAGGTAAATAACTGCGTTTTTTTTCCAATTTTTTTTTTTTTTTTTTTTTTGTCTTTTTCATGCTGTCACCAGTCAGTGTCCCTGATCACCGCCAAACCAGTTATATGATGATGCTGTACTGCACTGATGACAGTATATAAAAAAAATAATTTTTTTAATTTCTTCATTGTCTACTTTGCAAAAAGGGGTCATTTGGGGGATATCTGTACTGTTCTGACATTTTTGGGCCTCAAGAAATTAGATTGGCCGTCAGTACTTCAGGATTGACCCAATTTTCAGATATATCGCAGAGTTTGTGAACTCTATAACTCTCCTACAGACTAAATAGTGATTTGGGTTATGTATTATATCCATTTTATACTGTTATTTTATTGCATTTATGGAAATATAAATCATTCAGCATTGAGCGAATGAAATGTATTTATGGAGGTGTATTGCAACTGTAGAAATCAAACTAAAAACTATAATCAAGCAAGCCCTAGAGCAGTGTTTCCCAACCTCATTCCCCCCTTGTACCTCCAACATGTTTTGGGGAATTTCCCTAGATAAAATAGCTGTCATAAACATCAAGCCATGGATGATGATTTAAAGGAGTTTACTGCAAAGAAATTAGTGCATGGTTTTAAGGTGAAAATGTACCTTTTTTTTTTTCCTAGGCACCTGTAAAGCATTGCACCTGCAAATAGCGAATCGCAGTTGCAATGTCCGGGTCCTGCAGACTGTCAGTACAGCTGTCGGCCTGTACCTCGAAGTCCAGGAATATCAATCAACTAGGAGGGTGCCCACCAGCTCCCTCATAGTTCAATAAGAACTACAAGCTATCTGCTGTGGTGTTGGATGGAATTTGTAGTTCATTCACTCACCGAACTCTGTGAATGAATGACACAGCTGTGTGGGCGGAGCCTCACATGGCTGCGTTTTGTTTGAACTGTGACAGCGAGTGCAGGGAGAGGGGAATAAGTTCAGGGTGTTGGCAGGTGCTTTAGTAACATGTTACACCCTGAATATGGCTGTAATGTTACTAAAGGTGAAATGATTCTTTAAAGCACATGTGCAAGATGAAAGAAATCCTGATAACATGACCTGTCAGGGGAACTTGAGGATCCACTGGCCTGAAGGGCTTTTTTTTAACCTGGTGATCTTGTCAATAACAAACTTTCTGTCCTAACATAAATGCTCACTTACTGCACTGTGTCTCTCGAGGAACAACGTTGTCACCTAGGTTTACAGAACACCTCTCACTCTTATCTCTGTAATAAGGGGAGGTGTTTTGTAGTTCAGAGTTAACTAGGAACAATAGCGATGATAAAGTGATGACACAAAAACCTAGTTGGCTGGCTGTTATGCAGATCTCAGGAACATTTCCTGTGTTAATGGCAAAAAGCAAGTTCAAGAGTTCTACCACTGTTGGTTGCATGCATGCTACAGGTCAGTAACTCAAAGTCCTGAAGTTTAAAAGTTTACCTTTGGAACATGTTAAATGTTCCAGCATCTGTACCCCAGAACCCCCAACTCCCCCCCCACCACCTTGTGACAGAGGGTGGCAGATATTCTCCCTGTGGGTGCTGTCACAGTTTAAAAACACATGTGGATGTTTGGGGCTCCACTTACACAGCCGCGTCATTCATTTACAGGTTTCCTGTGAATGAATAGTCTACGAGACTCATCAGTGGCTGATGGCTTGTAGTTCTCGGTGAACTATGAGGATGCTGGCTAGTGCTCTGGTAGTTCATTGATTTTTCCTGCTCACAAGTAACTGCCTGCCTGTACGAGGTATCCTGAAAGTCTACAAGAGCCTGATACTGCACCTGTGATCTGATCGCGGTTGCAATGCTTTGTAGGCTTCTTTTAGAAAAAAATAATAAATACACATTTACATGCAAAAGGTGAACTAATGCAGGCCATAGACGGGTCGTTTATCGGACGATTTTTCACGCCGTTAGTGGGGCCAGTCCGTTGGCTGTTTTTCGTGGATCTCCTCATATATTTTTATCGGTCATGCTGGAAAATCCAGCAAAAACTGCCTTTTTTCGCGGACATGGGTGGCAGCATCGGCAACGGGCCCAACTGATTTTTCGTTTATTGGCCGAAAATTCGGCCGATAAATGGCCCGTCTTTGGCCTGCCTTAGCCTTTTAATTGGCACAACTGCCAGGAAACTTGCCTTTTTAAGCGAGGTCATTGGTGACAGTTTCCTTCTTTCTATCAGCAGAGTACAGTCCCTTTCCAATCTGTATTTTTTTCCAAGGCATCGACCATGCAATGTCGTTTTTGGTGTTTCCTACTGCCTATAAGGATTCTGGGCTTTTGGTGCAGAAGGGGCAATTTCTAAGCCGAAGAGCGATCTAAACTATGGGTTACTTGCCATGGTTGGTTTAACTTGTTTTTTGTCAGTACAGGTCTACATTAAAAAAAAAAAAAAATAATAATAATGGTTGATGTCATTACTCCCCGCAAGGGCCATTGTTTATAGATTGTCTTTTGGGATTATATACTTAGTGTCCTAATTATTTTTTGCCACTTTTTTTCGTTCTTGTTTTTTCCCCAAATGTTTTACTATTGAACATGGCCTGTATCGGTGGATAATTGCAACTTGTGCAAAGTGCATTCAACTTGCATATGACATGCAAGATCATTTTGAGATCCTTTATCATTTTACCCCTTCTGAAGGTTTTACATTTATTAAAAAAAACTATTCCAAGCAAGGCTATAGTATACATGGTTACATTCTTGGACCATTGTAACTATGCAGATACTGTACCTAGCTAATGCCACTGGAAGCTGAAAATCACCAAAAAAAGACACTCTAGTTTCTGGGTGCTTCTAGGGTCTTTGGTGGCAGGCCTGATGCGATCTGAACACAGGAGGTAAGCTGCTCGCCACAGGTGCCATCCAGAGAATGTTTTGCATTTTCAGAATGAAATCAAAGTGTTCTGTACTTGGACGAAGTGGAGAGTGTGACATTGCCAAGCAAAAAATGCTTTGCAGTTGTTGAGAATGCAAAGCTTTCTTTGAATTGCACCCATCCCAAATGACCAACCTCCTTTGTTCAGTAAGCAGGAGTGCAGCCACTTGGTGCAGTACCCAGAAGCAAGTGGGGATTATTGGAATAGTGGTGTCTACTTCTGTGATTTCCAGCTTCCAGGGACATAGGCCAGGTATGGTATAAGCATAGCTACAATGATCCAACACACACACACACACACACACACACACACACACACACTGAAGGAAGAAGTTCTGCCGTGAATAAAAGTCAGCTGACATAGGCCCTTGCACAATTCTCAATCAATATCCTTTTATCAGTTAATGTTCTGTTTTAATAGGGGAGAAAAAAGATGCTGCTGATCTCTTTGGTGATGCGGATGACATTTCTTCAAGTAGTGATGGAGAAGAAAAGCCTCCCACGCCTGGACAGCCCATGGTAAGTGTCTGTAAGCATCCATTATTCCACACATAGCTTTTCTCATTGCTTGTAACCAGCATTTGAGGCTTGTTATCAATGAAGGCCATTGCTTGGTGACAAACCTAATCTGACAATCGGTTCGAGATGTGTGATATACAGTGACATGAAAAAGTATTTATACCCCTTGACATTTTCCTCATTTTGTCATACAACCAAAAACGTACATGTATTTTATTGGTATTTTATGTGATAGACCAACACAAAGTGGCACATAATCGTGAAGTGGAAGAAAAATGAAAAATGTTTTTTATCATTTTTTTATGAATATGTGAAAAGTGTGGCGTGTATTTGTATTCAGCCGCCTCTATATGTAATCTTTATTTAGCAGCGCCGCATCACTTGTTTATTCATGATTTCTTCTAACATTGCCCTGTATTAGCCTCCATCCATCTTCCCATCAACTCTGACCAGCTTCCCTGTCCCTGCTGAAGAAAAGCATCCCCACAACATGATGCTACCACCATGTTTCACGGTGGGGATGGTGTGTTCAGGGTGATGTGCAGTTTTTTTTTTTTTCCGGCACACATAGCATTTTGCTTTTAGGCCAAAAAGTTCAATTTGTCTCATCTGACCAGAGCACCTTCTTCCACGTTTGCTGTGTCCACCACATGGCATCTCGCAAATGGGACTTCTTATGGCTTCCTTTCAACAATGGCTTTCTTCTTGCCACTCTTCCATAAAGGTCAGATTTGTGGAGTGCACAACTAATAGTTGTCCTGTGGACAGATTCTCCCACCTGAGCTGTGGATCTCTGCAGCTCCTCCAGAGTTACCATGGGCCTCTTGGCTGCTTCTCTGATTAATACTCTCCTTGCCCAGCCTGTCGGTTTAGGTGGGCGGCCATTTTTTGGTAGGTTTGCAGTTGTGCCATACTCTTTCCATTTTCGGATGATGGATTGAACAGTGCTTCGTGAGATGTTGGATATTTTTTTTTTATAACCCTTCCCTGCTTTAAACTTCTCCACAACTTTATACCTCACCTGTCTGGTGTGTTCCTTGGCCTTCATGATGCTGTTTGTTCACTAAAGTTCTCCAACAAACCTCTGAGAGCTTCACAGAACAGCTGTATTTGTATTGACATTAAATTACACATAGGTGGACTCTGTTTACTAATTAGGTGACTTCTAAATGCAATTGGTTCTACTAGATTTTAGTTAGGGGTGTCAGAGTAAAGGGGGCTGAATACAAATGCACTCCACACTTTTTTCAGATATTTATTTGTAAAAAATTTTAAAAAACCATTTATCATTTTCCTTTCACTTCACAATTATGTGCCACTTTGTGTTGGTCTATCACATAACATCGCAATAAAATCCATTTACGTTTTTGTTTGGAATATGATCAAATGTGGAAAATTTTAAGGGATATGAATGCTTTTTTTTTTTTCAAGGCACTGTATGTCAGCAGCTGCAGATTACCTCTAAATTTATTTCTAGCTCCATCACTCATATAGATTACCTTTTTGTGCACCTCCACATCTCTCATTACTAGTAGTAGGGTATTGCCTGATCTATATTCTTCATTGTGTTCTCTTTAATTCCATGTGTGGTTTGTGCTTGTGTTAGCCCTGGTTCACACATGTACTAATTCAGATGCATTTTGAGATCGCTGATTGATTTGAATGATATGTAAAATAACTTTGAGTTCTATTGTGGCCATTCACATATACGCAGTGCACCTGCAGAGCGAATTCAAAAAGAGTCCAGAATGAAAGTGTACAATCCATACGAACATGTTCCTGCATTTAAAAATGGCTGTGTGTATAAGTGGGTGCTGCAGCGACCGTCAGCTGGAACTGAACAGAATCAGCAAGGGAGAATGTCACCAGCACACCGAGGATCACCAATATGGGTCCAAACGTTTTAATGAATGATCACATAGTTGCAGCATGGCAATGTTTCGGAGTCTCGCAGGACATGTTATCGGTCATATGCCTGATGAAGGGGTCCTGTGAGACTCCAAAACGTTGCCTTGCTGCAACTATGTGATCTTTCAGTAAAACTTTTGGACCCATATTGATGATCCTTGGTGTGCTTGTGTCATTCTCCCTTTCAAAAAGAGTCCTGTGTGGTTTCTGAGCAGTGCGGTGGGAGTCCAGTGCAAATTATTGGCTCATTGACTTAAATGGGAGCGCTTCTAAATAGCACATCAGTTGGGAACACAATGTAAGCCTTGTCAATTTGCAGCAGAACCACATCTAAATTGCACCTGAACCGCTGAACAACTACTTTGGAAATTCGCACTGAAATCGGACCTGAAAATTGCACTGCACATGTGTTAACCCAGGCTTAGAGATGCATTAAATAGTTCCATTCAAGGCATGCAGTGAATTGATAACTCACAACCAAACTGTCAAGCCATCAAATATCTGGGATTCTAGTTGATCACATGTGCTGTGCTATGGCAACTACAGATCACACAGAGGCTAAGATAACAACTTCTTTGGATGTAAAGGTTAGTCCTACTTTAACGCTTACAAAGAAACCATTGGATACATGTATATGTTATTTTCGGTTTACCAGGGGGATTTTCATTTCAGTTTGCCTTATCTATATAGTCCTCTTAACTTGTTTGTGTAATTCTACCAGGATGAGGATGGACTAGATCAAGACCAGCCAGAGGAAGAACCTGTTCCTGAAACCAGAATAGAAGTCGAGATCCCCAAAGTGAACACAGATCTCGGGAATGACTTGTATTTTGTCAAGCTTCCCAACTTTCTCAGTGTTGAGCCCAGGTAAAGTATTGTCCGCTGTACTATTTTTGAAATTTATCAAAACTGGAGCAGACAGACTCTGTAGCTGTGCATGGCAACCAATGGGCTTCTATATACAGCTTGTTCAGTTAAAGGGCAACTCCACTTTTGTGGGGAAAAAAATAGAGCAAATGAAATACAGCATTTACAATTGCTACACAGACCATATTGTAATTTAAAGTTATTAAAAATGACCTTTCCTCTGAAATCTGCAGCTGTTGTAATGTTCTGTACAATTCAGTGCAATATGGCAACCTGCAGGTCTTCTGCACACAGTTGGTGTACAGATCTTCCCTCCAGAAATATCATTTCATGTTTCTTCAATCGGCTCACTGATTTTCCCAGAAATCTGCACTAATATTCAAGTCCAATTTTAGGCATCCTCTGCAATAGGAATTATATTTTTGATGAGATACTTTCTAAAGGTTAAAGCGGAGTTCCAGTCAGTTTTGTGCTTATTAAAAGTCAGCAGTTGCAAAAACTGTAGGTGCTGACTTTTAATAGACACACACTCACCTGTCCCAGGGACCAGCGATGTACTCACTCGCGCCGTCCCTTCTCTCTGTGGCGCCGGCATCACAACTGTGGGTACCAGGCTGTGACAGCTTGTGGCTTCACAGCCAGGTGCCCACTGCGCATGCATGAGACGTGCTGCTCATTCTGATTAGCCCAGCAGTCTTACGGGACCTGTGAAGCTTCCCAGGAGACTAAAGGAGGAAGGAGGGGGGCCGAGCTTTCAGCTCACTTTCCAGCTGTGAACTGAGCCGGAAGTGGGAACGGGTACCTGTCAAACACAGGTGGCAAATATGGCAGTGGAGGGGGGGAGAAGGCAAACAAGCATTGGAGCTTCCACTCTTGAGTGGAACTCCGCTTTACTTCTTAAGGGATGCTAACACTTCAACTTTCCTCATTGGAAGAATGCAAGAAAATCAGCTGATTAGATTGAACACTCTCAATCAGAAATCAGACTTCCAAGGACATAGTAGAATACACAGATTTACAAAATAACCTGGTAGTATCTCTACTACAAATATTGTTAAAATCTATGCAATGTACATTGCTGATTGGTTGACATGCACAGCTGTCCCAGATTCTGTCTGCTCCAGTTTTGATAAATTCCCTTCTGTGTGTTTAGTACCTCAAATTTGGGAATGTGGGTGTCTGACAAAAAATGGCTACTTCTATCCTTGTTTTGGTTTTAATTTATAGATATATTAGACTTTATCCCCTTACTACAGTCTAAGCTGTAACCATTTTGCATTGTAGACCGTTTGACCCTCAGTATTACGAAGATGAATTTGAAGATGAAGAAATGTTAGATGAAGAAGGTAGAACTAGGCTGAAATTAAAGGTATGTTTTTTAATGTCTACCTTGCTACATGTTAGAGCTGGTTTTATAAACCTGGGACATAGTTTGACTTTTTGTGATTATATCTGTGAATGGAAAAGTTAAATAAAGATTCTGTTTTCTATAGGCAGCAAATGCTGCCTTTTTTTTTTTTATTGCTCCAGCTTTTTTGTGTGGAAGTGTGGAATAGCAAAAAAACTAACATACATACTCGCCTATATGGTTGCAGAATCACTCTGATGCTGCAGCTGTCCCCGCTGGCTCAGTTCTAGGTCTTCACTAAGCAGAGAGTGGTGACTGTCAGTCTCTGGCTCTCTGCTCTTAAAGTGGAATTAAACTGTGTCTGAGCACTACAAGCTGAAAACACTACACAATTCATTTTATTATTCAAAGCAAACTCAACCATCCATCTATGTCTTCATGCTTTATTTGAAAAAATGACCCTCTGTCATTTCTAGCCATAGCCATCTTGAGCAAGGGCAGATAATTCATGTAACCTTTTTATTTCCTGAAATCCATCTGCCTTTAGCTCAGGCATACAGACAGGAGGGTGTGCTCTACTAAAAACACCTCTCATCCACTCAGGAGATGTAGGGGCCGATCCTTGGTACTTGCGGCCAGCACGATTTCTCTGACGGGAGCTAGAAGAGGCTTTACACCAGCGTTTTGGATGTTGCAGGGGCAGGATGATACTATACAACCTTCATTCTGGAAAGTCAATTGCCAGTATATCCAGGGTGTTGAGAAAGTGAGGCAGGTCATCCTTAGTGCATAAGACTGCAATCCTTCCATTCCGTGTGGCGGTCAGGCAGAAAGGGAATCCCCAGCGGTAGTTGACATTTACTGCGCGCAGGGCATCAAGCAGAGGGTGCACTGTATGCCACTGCATAAGGGTCCTCCGAGAGAGATCAGGAAAAAGGGTGAGCTGAGCACCATCAAAATTAATGGAAGGGCGACTGTGGGCTGCCTTTATGACGGCTTCATTCACTGAATATTTGTGTAGTTTGCAAATTACATCCTGTGGTTTATCTGTGTCTTTGAGGAACAGGTTGAAGGGCAATATGGACCCTATCAATCTGTTTTGTCAGGGGCAAGGTCGCCAAATAAACCTTGGACTATAAATCTGAAGGGCAAGTCGCCTCAGGCAAGCCGCGGATACGGATATTCTGCCTCCTGTCTGTGTTCTCATAGTCAACAAGTTGGTCTAATAAAGCATTAAGGACCTCTTCATGGTGTGAAGTCGTTTCTGGTATAGCAGTAACGGTCTGCAGTAACTCATCATGGTGTGTCTCCATAGCCTCAACTCTGTGTCCTAAGGCTGTAGTGTCCTGTTTAATCCGCTCTGTAGCTTGCTTACAGGAGAGCTCTACAGCTGCTATCAGTTGTCGAATGTCAGTTTAGTAGGAAGAGCTTGTATATGTTCGAGACATCAAGTTTTGAGGGAGGGGAGAATCTGCTCACTGAGTGTATGGATGGAGAAAGGCTGTGGCACAGTACCTGTGGGGATGCCGGTGGAGCCGGGGAGTTGCCGCTCAATGCTGTAGAGGTGCACTGGGAGGCCGCGTGGTCAGGCACCAACTTAGCAGATGCCCGAGAGCCAGCTGCATGCGGGGTGAAGGACTGGAGCCCGCTCACCCAAGAGCCGCTGCTGCCACCACCGGGAGGCTGAGGATGTGCGGCGCTTAGGAGGTTGGAGACCACTGCAGAGCAGTGTATGCCCGGGGTCAAGCAGGAACTCGACACCAAGCGTCCTCACACCATGACAGACCACGTCCCAATATATACCTTGTATAACTGCAGTAGGGAACAGACAAAAAAGATACTCGGCATCTTTCCAAATCACTGTTCTGTTTATTCGGAGCATTTTGAAGGTGTTTTTTTTTTTTTTTCACATGATTACGTAGGTATCACATTAATATTACAATTGTACTTTTTTGATAACAAGGGGCGTTACATAGGCAGGCTAATTTCTAATCAGGACTTGGAGGAATTCAAATGTAATCAAAACATTATTGGCACCATGTGCACAAAGAGTGCAGTGTACAATACATAGGCTAAGCATACAAAATATCAAATTAATTAGACATAAACTCAACCGCTCAATCAAAACAAATTGCTGAAAAATCCTCCTAAAAATTAATGTTAATAAATTACATCATTAATCAAAATTATAAATAAATGTAATCAATCGTGAAAACACAAAAGTCCATCATTTCTTCCACTCCTATAAAATCCACTTTAAATTTTCCTTTCCGATGTTAGATTCACCCTTGTTCACACCACTCACTCCTGGTGCTTCCACCACCTTACATTGAGGCTGCTTACCTCGAAAAATTGACCTACGTGTTAGGTCAAACAGCACCTTGCCCTTTTAGGGCGAACCAATCCACACCACTTTGTAGCTGTCGAGTCTTCACATGAACTTCTAACCTTCATATAGGTACTCCTTGTAATAAAAAGAACCTCACTGCACAATATGTAAAACTACAAATACTGTTTATTAAAACGAAACAAATGACACTCACAAAAATAGTGCACTGTGTCCAGTGCACACAGAATCAATCGTCTCTAAAATAGTTTCTCCTTAAGGTTGGGTAATGGCTTCAGCTACCTCACTAAGATGGCCGACTTCCGTTCCCTGTGCGTGATGACGTCATCTGGCCACACCCTTGACACGTTTCGTCGTCCAATCATGACTGCTTCAGAAGGTCTTTAAATGAATGCAAATATAATCAAAACATTATTAGTGCCACGTGCACACACAGTGCAGTGTACAATGCATAGGCAAAGCATACAAAATAGAATACAATTTTATACAGAATTTAGATTCCCTTTACACTAAGTGCAAGTACAAGATTGTAAGCTCGAAAGAGCAGGGCCCTCAATCCCCTCATGTTTTGCATTGTGTTGTTGTTCTGTCACATGTTCTGTCCCCCTTTGTAATGTACAGCGCTGAGCGAACTATTGGCGCTTTATAAATACTGTATTATAATAATAATTTATGGTCCAAATAGGACTGGCTTTTTAACCGCCTCCCGCGCGACCATATAAGGAAATGACGGGCGCAAGGCGGTTCTCTCGTTCTGAGAGGATGTCATATCACGTCCTACCACTCTAACCTTGCGTGCACGGCTCCGGAAGTGCGCAGCGTGGCGATCGGTGGTGTGCTGTGTCCCTCGGGCACAGCGGATCACCGATCAACGGAAAGAGCCGAAGATGTCGGCTCAGTCATGTGATCAGCTGTGTCCAATCACAGCTGATTGCCTGTAAATGGGGAAATGCTGGTCATCTGCATTTCTCTCCTCACTAGCTGTCACGCTGACAGCTCGACAGGAGAGGAGAGCTGGTAATCGGCATTCCTCAGAGGGGACATGTACACTGATCATCAGGGCACTGATGATCAGTGTAGCCCCAGCAGTGCCACCTGCTAGTGCTTGTCAGTGCTCATCAATGCCACCTGCAAGTTCCCATCAGTGCCTCATCAATGCCACATATCAGTGCCCATCTGAGCTGCCAGTCAGTGCCGCCTAACAGTGCCAGTCAGTGCCATATATGAGTACAGCCTTTCAGTGCCCATCAGTGATGCCTGTCAATGCCTACCAGTGCCTCGTCATCAGTGCAGCCTATCAGTGCCCATCACTGCAGCCTCATTAGCGCACAGCAGTGATGGAGAAAAATCACTTATTTACAAAATTTTATAACAAAAACTAAGAGAACTTTTTTTTTCAAATTTTCAATTGTTTTTGGTTTGTTTAGCAAAATTAAAAAACCCAGAGGTGATTAAATACCACCAAAAGGAAGCTCTATCTGTCTCAAAAAAAATGATAAAAATTTCATATGGGTACAGTGTTGCATGACCGTGCAATTGTCATTCAAAGTACGGCAGCGCTGAAAGCTGAAAATTGGCCTGGGCAGGAAGGGGGTATAAGTGCCGAGTAGGCTAGTGGTTAAACAGGGGATGGCAGTTGGTGAAGTGTAGCCATGAATTATGGGAAAACTCACAGAGGGGAATTTACTAAGACTAGAGCAGATGGAATCTGGAGTAGTTGTGCATGGCAATCATTCGTCATCTAGCTTTCATTTACAAAGCTTAACGGAACAAGCTGAGTAGAATCTGATAAGTTACTGTGCAAAGCTTCTCTTGATTCTGTCTTCTCCAGTTTCAGTAAAAAACCCCCATGGTGCCTAATGTAGTTATATACAGCTTGAGGTTCTCTTGTTTATGCAGCATTTATTTTTAAATTTCAGCAGGTTACATGTTTTACTCATTTTATTCTGTATTTTATTTATACATTTCAGGTACTTATATAGCGCCATCCATTTATGCAGTGCCTTGCATATATGTTGTATATTTATTCTGATTCCCTGCCCTCAGGAAGCTTACAATCTAAGGCTCTGAGCTAATTCACACACATACTAGGGCCAATCTAGGCAGCAGACCATTAACCTACCAGCAAAGTCTCATTCTATTTTTGTTTAGACATCTTTTATGAACATTTTATAGCATGTAGCTATAGTTGTGCTGCAGCTTCCATTGTCTGTCTCACCAGATTCTAAAAGCTACTCTGTCTATAATTTTTTTTTTCTTCTTTTTTTTCTTTGAACAGGTTGAAAACACAATTCGGTGGAGGACAAGACGGGATGAAGAAGGGAATGATGTCAGAGAGAGAGTAATGCACGTATTGTTAAATGGTCTGATGGCAGGTGAGCTTTGGGTTGTTGTACAAAATTTCCTTCATTTCCCTTCTCCATTCTTCTGCTGCATCAGTAATCTTTCTGGCACTAGAAAGTTATGTTTTTTTTTTTCAGATTCTTAGTAAAATAGTAAAGTACTTGCAAAACTTCCAATAACACAGCCTGTGTTGATGGGAGGAAATCCCTCTTGCAGCCCTAGAGTGTTCTGCTGGTGGGGCGCCTTCCCTGCCAGCAAAACACATTGATCACTGCTGGCTGCTATAGCCAGCGGCAATGATTGCATGCAAAAAAAAAAAAACTGACAGGCTGGTTGTTCTGAAGTTGACCGATGGATCAACTTCAGTGCAACCAGCTTGTCTATAGATGGATCAAATCTCGACTGGTTCAAAAGGGACCGGCCGAGATTCAATCCATCTATGGGCAGCTATTCAATTGCCCTTTTGGTTCTGTCAACTTATACACAAGTCTCCTTGCAATCTTTATGTGTGTGTAATTCTCTCTTCTGATTCTGGCAGCATGTCCTTACACTTGGGAAATGAAGTTTTTGATGTATACAAAGCTCCACTCCAAGGGGACCACAACCATCTCTTTATCAGACAAGGAACAGGTTTACAGGGTCAAGCTGTATTCAAGACCAAGCTTACATTCAGGTGGGTGTTCCTTTCAAAACTGGGGAAAAATTGTATTGTGTGTATGTAAAAACTGGATGTTCATTAATATATAGGGGGTTTCTCTTGAGGGAAAAACTATAGTGGTTCTCGGTCGTGGTGTTTTTTTTTTTTATCAATATATAAAATATCATCAGTGTTTACATTTTTTTTTAATGTATATAAAATCTTTATTAAACATTTAATACAAGGCATTTTATGTTACAGTAAGCACATAGTATACTCTAATAAGAAAGTCCAGCACTACTTGGCTAACTGAATATCTATTTAGCACCCTCACTATCTAGGGAAAAGCAGGAAGGAAAGTGCCAGTCAGATGTGTATTTCTAATTTGAGATCCTGCTAAACACGTCATAAAGCATTTAACCAGCCATATGAAACTCTGGAGCTCCAGACTTGCACTCACTACCTGCTGTCTTCAAGGAGCAAATATTATTATACATTTTTATTAATATGAATTCAAAATTTAAAAAATGCAAGTTTTAAAGTGATTCATATGCTATTTTTTTTTTTACATTTAATGCATTTCCTGCATTAGGATAAAAAAAAACATTTTGCCACTTGCTGATCCCCCTCCCCGCAAACACTTACCTGTGTCCTGTAACGATTCAGCACTGTGCCTGTGTGCCGTTCTTCTCAGTCTTTCTCTTCTCACAGAAGAATTAGGCAGCAGTGGGAGCCATTGGCTTCTCCCGCTTCGATCAAATCCTGTGAGCAGGGGGCAGGGCCAAGCCACACTGTCTTTCCTATAGACACACACAGCCCAGCTGGAGAGCGAGCCCGCATGTCTGCCCCTATAGCAAGCTACTTGCTATTGGGACAGACACAGAAGAGGAGGAGCCAAGATTGCCAGCGGAGAACCCCAGAAAAGAAGGTTCATTACATAGTGCAGGTAAGTATAACATAATCATTATTTTAATTTTACAAAAGCTTTAGCTTTAATTTTCAGCCATGGACATGATACATGGGTTTAGAAAATACAGTAAAGCACTATACATTCAGTTTAAGCTGTCATTTTAGGTCATTATTTACTGCCTAGATCTTGAACAGTATACTGGTCTACATATTGTCTTGTGCAATTTTCGCATGGAATTCTTGTATTGATTGCATGATCACATTTTTCCTTCTTTTAGGCCTCATTCAACAGACAGCGCCACTCACAGGAAGATGACGTTGTCTCTGGCAGACAGGTGCTCTAAGACTCAGAAGATCAGAATACTTCCAATGGCAGGACGTGACCCTGAGTCTCAAAGAAATGAAATGATTAAGGTAATGGTGAATATCTATTGGCAAACGGGCAGCATGTTCCAATAAAGGGAAACTATAATGGAAAAAACATTAAAAAAATATATATATATATTAGGCATACCTCGGTTTATGAATTTAATTTGTTCTGCGGGACTTTTCGTATAGCGAAGAATTCGTAAACTGAAATGCTGTTTCCCATAGGAATGCATTGAATACCAAGTTAATCCTTTCCAGAGGTCAGAAGAAAAGTAAACACTTACTAAAATACAGCATGACCCTTTGAGGGGAACTCCCATGCCAAAATTAAAAAAAAAATAAATGGCGTGGGGGTCCCCCCCCCCCCCCTCAAAATCCATACCAGACCTTATCCAAGCATGCAGCCCGGAGGGTCAGGAAAGGGGGACGGACGAGCGAGCACCCCCCAAACCATACCAGGCCACATGCCCTCAACATGTGGGACAAGGGCATGTTGATGGGGACAAGGGCCTCTTCCCCACAACCCTGGCCGGTGGTTGTGGGGGTCTGTGGGCAGGGGTCTTATCGTAATCTGGAAGCCCTCTTTAACAAAGGGGCCCCCAGATCCCGGCCCTCCCTATGTAAATGAGTATGGGGTACATGGTCCCGCTACTCATTCACAAAAAAAACAAAATGTGTAGTGTGAATAAAGACAGGACAAGGTCTTTGACAAGTCCTTTATTAAAAGAAAAAAATAAAAGAATGTCCCCTGCAGTAGATCCAACGTCAATCACAATGTCCGCCGCCGATCCGAAAAAAGAGTTAAAAAAAAAAAAAAAAGGCTCCGGTAAGGGACGTGGCCACCCGGGGACATCACCCAAGTGTCTCCGCCCCATGTGACATCATTGCTGGCAGCAGATTTTTATCAAGAATGTCTTGGTACATTTTTCCATTCATCCTTCCTTCCATGACATGACGTTTGCCAGTACAGTATGCTGAAAAACAGCCCCACACCATGATGTTCCCATCTCCAAACTTTGCTGTTGGTATGATGTTTTTGGGGTGTTGTGCAATGCCATTTGACCTCCAAACATGGTGTGTATTATGGCATCCAAAGAGTTCAGTTTTGGTGTCATCTGACCAGACTATATTCTCTCTGTATTTCACAGGCTTGTCTAAATGTTGTGCAGCAAGCTTTAAACGAGCTTCAGCATGCTTTTTCTTCAGCAATGGAGTCTTGCTTGGTAAACGAGTATACAGGCCATGGCGGTTGAGTGCATTACTTATTGTTTTCTTTTAAACGGTTGTACTTGCCAAACCAGGTCTTTCTGAAGCTCTCCACAAGTGGTCCTTGGCATTTAGACAACTCATCTGATAATTTTTTTTACTCTTCTGTCAAATCTTGTGAGGAGCACCTGGCCGTGGCCAGTTTATGGTGAAATTATGTTCTTTCCTCTTCTGGATTATGGCCCCAATGGTGCTCACTTAAACTTTCAGAAGTTTAGAAAGCCTTCTATAACTTGAGAGAGCTCTTTGATTTTACCCATCATGAGGGACACCTTGGTAATAAGATACCTTTTTATAGGCAATCAGTTGAGACTGTGTCATTCCATTTTATTCCATATAATTTAATTTAATTTCTGAACTTAATTGTTTTGGTTTCTTTGAAATTTTCACCATGTCAATAACAACCCATGAAATCCATACGTACAATGTCAATAGCACCTTTAGAAATATATTTACAGAGAAAAATGGGGATGTGTTCAATATTTATTTTACCTGCTGTATGTATTGCAGAATAAATACATTACACTTTGCCTGCAAACCATGCTGGGCTTCCTAAGAAAACCTAGCCTTAAGCTTGTTTGCTAGCAAAATGTGAAAGGGGCACAACTTGCTTGGAGTGCCATCTGCTGCCTGAAAATGCTTACTGATATTAAAACTAACCTTTAGTATTAGTAAAAGTATTTAGTAAAAAAAAAAAAAAAAAACAATAAGAGGTTTATACTTACCTGCCCTGTGCAGCAATATTGCACAGAGTGGTCTTTTACCCCTTCTTAGAGGTCCCTTACTAGTTCTGCCCACATCTTCTTCCAGTGGGAGCCCCTATAGCAAAACATATGCTATAAGGGCACCTGTGCAGGCATTCTCCCAAGCCGGGCTGTGTACACCCATAGACACACACAGAACGGCTCACCCTTGTCACCTGCTCTCTCCTCACAGAATTTGATTGACAGCAGAAGTGCTTTTTTTTTTTTTTTTTTTTTTTTTCTTTCCTGTCTTACCAATACGTGAACAGGTAGTCTGAAGGTGCAATTTGCTGTTTGATTGCAGAATTTCAGAGTAAAGTGCATTTTCCCTGCATACATAATTTTATAGGTTTGTGTTTTTCGTGCAATTTATCATCAGCGTATTTTATTGGCAGAAAGAAGAAGAGAGATTGAGAGCCTCAATCCGTAGGGAGTCCCAACAGCGCAGAATCAAGGAAAAGCAACACCAGCGTGGACTGAGTGCTAACTACCTGGAACCTGATCGCTATGATGATGAGGAGGAAGGGGACGAGTCTATAAGCTTGGCAGCCATTAAAAACAGATATAAGGGAGGAAGAGGTAAGTTTGTATTCATAAGGCACACAATTGTGACATACTTCTTGTTTCTGTTAGAAAATCCCCCGTTGTCTCTGTCAGCGCTCAGTAAGAAAAGACTTTTGTTTTATATTTAGAGAGAAAAAAAAAGATCAAGAGAAAATGTATTATCCTTCTACAATTAAAAATCGTGACATTAAATAAAGATGTAGTCCAACACTTAAAAACATATATATATATATATATATATATATATATATATATATATATATATATATATATATATATATATATATATATATATTTAGGATAATTTACTAATTACTGCAAAAAAAAAAAAAATTTTGATTTGTCTCATACACCAACAGAGTTAGGTTCTAGAAGTAACATTTGTGAAATAAATGTGTGTGTGTGTGTGTGTGTGTGTGTATATATGTATGTATGTGTGTATATATAAAAACGCGTATAAATGAATTGTGTATATGTGTGTGTGTGTGTATATGTGTGTATGTGTGTATATAGATATATATAATATAAAATGTTTTCTTTTTTTTTTTCCCCCAAAAATTAATGCACTGAAATTCAGGGCTCATTCAATTTTCAATTCTAGACACACAGCAGCACTTTGCAATACATATGGTTTTGTTCGTTGTGCTGTGTAAAAATGTAGACCTGCTGCATTTTTTCCTAGTTTACCCCAACACATGTATGGTGGAAACAGAGAACAATTGTTTTCTTGTATTATTTAGTTGATTCATGATGACCAGTGCAGCTCAACTTACCTGGTTCGTCCAATGTTTAACTAAACTTTAGAACAGTTTGAAATCATTTGTTTCATTAGACATAAGGGGTATGATCTAGATCTGTGCATGTATTTGTGTATTATTATCTTTTTTGTAGACATTGAATTGAAGATGTTTTATTATTAGTGTTGGTCTCTGTTACTTAGACAGTCATTCCTTCAGTCCTTTTTAAAATAAAGACTTTGCTTATGGTATATACACTGGAGGGAGATTTACTAAAACTGGAGAGTAAAAAATTTGGTGCAGCTCTGTATAGAAATATCCAGATTTTAATGTCAAAGCTTAATTGAATAAGCTGAAGTTAGAATCTGGTTGGCTATTATGCACAGCTGCACCAGATTCTGAGTGTTCCAGTGTTTGTAAATCTCCCCCAGTGTGTTTAGTGGGGTTCATACTAAGTTAAATGTAAAGTCCTGCATTGGTATATGATATGAATTTCTATCTGAACAATTGATTTAGTATTTTGCACTGTATAGTTATTGCCGTTGGATCTAAAGAACATTGTAAAATCATATGGTTGTATGTCTGGTCAGCTTTCATTGTTCATTGAGTGGTGTGTTGATGTGGGCTGAAGTTATCTGAGTTGAATGTACAGCACTTCACCTCCCTGGCGGTATTCACGAGTGTAGCTCGGGGTAAAGTTTAAGTACCAAAGGCGGTAACCCCGAGCTACACTCGGGCTTACCATGCAGTGTTGCACATGGATTCCCTGCAGCGCTTACCTTGGCCTTCGCTCCTGTGATGCGTCCCCGGCCATCTCCTCCAGCCGATGCCGGCATCCTGCTTCCGTGTTCTGGTCCCTGTGACGTCGGGCCGTAGGGGCGCCGGAACCGGCGGCAAATTTGAAATTTTTTAAAAATGTAATTTTTTTTAAAAATGATTATTACATAGATAAAACATTGCTGTTTCAAAACATTTCACATACATTTTGTCCCTACTGCTTTGTCCTGTCCCCTGCCTGCATTTTGACTGTTCTTTCTGCCTGGAAACTTAGAAAAGTCCATGGCGTCCAAAAAGCGTCCTTTTAGGTCAAAATCGGTTTTAGACCAACTAGAGAACAGCAATAGTAAATCAGAAGCACTTGCAGAATTGAGTGATAATGATTTGTGGGGAAATTTGTCATCAGACACTGAAAACGATTCTGCGACTTTGCTCAGCAATGTGCGAACTTGGCGCTATATTTCAAATTTCAGTGTTTTTGGTTTGATTATATTTAATTAAATTTATTATTATTTTTTATGATTATTTATTAAATTATAATTTATGATTTTGTGTTTCAAGTTTTATATCCGGAATGTTTACTAGACTCTTGTTCGGACAGATTTCAGTGAGTTATTCCTAAATTACAGGCCTACAATAAAACAAAATACATATTTCCATGCAAAAAAATGGTACCACTTTCAGCACCAAAAATCTGAAATAATCATACCGCTAGGGAGGTTAAAGGAGAATCTCGCTAAATGCCACAGCATACTCTGCCTAGCCCACTAACCTAAGCTAGAGCCCACCCCCATCCACCCAGCCAGGTACTTACTGTACCTCTTTTAGAGTTCAATGACCTTTTCTGCATTTACATCCTAGGTGCAGAAATTTTCTCCAGCATGGACAGCACCTGGGCAAAAACTCCCCATTGCCTTGAATGCAGTTGTACTCCTAGACATTAGGAGTATGGACCGGTTTAAGGCTAATATGGAGTTGCTGCACAGGCATGGCCAACAATAAAGGAGAGCTCTGTACTAAATATGTAAACACCAGTGGAGGCAATTGCCATTACAGAGAAGTATATAGGCACTTTTATGTTAAAGTGAAGTTGTGCTGTAATGTGGTGCAGTTTGCCTTATTAAATAGAGATGTCAATTGTTTTCATGTCCACCTGACTGTGCTGTGGCTTTGTAACTTTACTGTATGTTCCTTGTAGAAACCGCTTCAGGCTTTGATAAATAGTCATTTCCATTTATTAAAAAGTACTTTTTTGTGGTTCAGAATAGTAAAGGTAACTTTAATTTGTAATTATAGTTTTGCAGATGCCAGGGCTCTTAATCCGGTTGGGTTCATTGTTTTAACATATGATTTTGAAAACATTGCATTTGCTGCAATATATTTTTCTAGACTATCCTCTGTGTAGGGCCCGACTATCTAATTCAAGAGTGTCTCCTAGTTCATGATTATTACACGTTTGCCCTCTCCCCTTACCCCTCCCACCCTTTCTTCTTTCCTTCCTTATTTACCTACAGCTCACAATATGGGTATTGCTACTACACCTATGGCTTGTACAATATCACGTCTACTAGTCTTTACTATTATAATTAATGTTGTTTTCTATTACTTATGGACACTCAGAATTTTTTTTGTTTTTTTCAGGTTGAGGTTAGTCACGGTTGAGCATTTGTGCCGGTTACATTGTGTATCTGACAAAATTTCAATAAAAGAAAGTGAAAGTATTGTATGTTATATCTCTAAAAAAATGTTTTCTTTTTCTTCAGAGGAGCGTGCCCGCATCATTCTTCGGACAGTGATGAAGGCTCAGATGAGGATAAAACTCAGAGGTTACTCAAGGCAAAGAAACTGAACAGTGATGACGAGGTGGGAGCACACATATTAATCTTACACCTAAACCCTTACCCAGCTAGATGCTTGCAGCAGTATTATAAGTAGATACAGTTGACTTAACACCTCTTCTGAATGAATAAAGGAAACCAGCACTCAAATCTTCATGCAGACTAAGATAACTGAAACTGTCATTCGTAGAGGTGCAGCCCTTAAAGATCTGGAAATCTTGATACTGGTGAACAAAAGCAAAACAGAGTGCACTCTCTTTTTGCATTAACGTAGTAAACCAAAAGCATATAAAGCATATAAAATGCATACTCACAAACCAAAGGGGGATAAAAACAGCCAATAAGAGTCCATTACAGTCTAAAGTAACGATAGACCCTTAGTGAGTGAGCTAACGTGTTTTCGGGAGACAAACTCCCTTCATCAGAGCTCTGAATGAAGGGAGTTTCTCCCGAAAACGCATTAGAACACCTCAATAAGGGTCTATCATTACTTTGGACTGTCATTATGGACTCTTCCTGTGTGTTTTTTAACTTCTGTTTTATACGTTAATGCAACGAAGAGCGTTTTAACGCCTCTTCTTCACCAGGTTTGCAGGCTGGAACTTTGACATAAATCTCTTGGGGGAGTAAATTATTCAGATTATCAATCAGTTTAAGGCCTCATTACATTGGACACCGAGAGCCTGAAATTTTTCCAGTCTTTCCTGTGCCCAGAGACCCCCAGGTGCCTTTGTACATCTTGCTGTGAATCGAATGGCTGTACGTGGCCTTAACTCTTGGAAAAGCTGATGCTGAAGTGTATGAGTGTACATTGGATTTCCTGTCATGAAACTTTTTTTTTTTTTTTTCTTCAATATACAGAGCATCCAGAAAGTATTCACAGTGCTTAGCTTTGCCACATTTTGTTATGCTACAGCTTTTCATCCAAAATGGAGTCAATTCATTTTTTTTGCTCCACATTCTACAAACAATACCCCATAATGACAACATGAAAGAAGTTTGTTTTGAAATCTTTGCAATTTATTGAAAATAAAAAACGAAAAAAATCACATGTACATAAGTTTCCCAGCCTTTGCTCAATATTTTGTTGAAGCCCCTTTAGCACCAATTACAGCCTCAATTTTGAGTATGATGCTACAAGCTTGGCACTTTTTTGGGCATTTTTCTGCCATTCTTCTTTGCAGTACCTCTCAAGCTCCATCAGTTGGATGTGGCACGTCGGTGCACAGCCATTTTCAGATATCTTTCCAGAGATGTTCAATCGGGTTTAAGTCTGGGCTCTGGCTGGGCCACTCCAGGACATTCACAGTCCTTTGTTATTTGGGCTGTGTGGTTAGGGTCGTTGTCCTGTTGAAAGATGAACTGTCGCCCTAGTCTAAAAGGTCCAGAGCGCCTTGGAACAGGTTTTCTTCAAGGATGTCTCTTTACATTGCTGCATTCATCTTCCCTTCGATCCCCGACTATTCTCCCAGTTCCTGCCGCTGAAAAACATCCCCATTGATGCTGCCCACCACCATGCTTCACTGTAGGGATAGTATTGGCAGGTGGTGAGCGGTGCCTGGTTTCTTTCAGACATGACGCTTGGCATTCAGGCCAAAGAATTCAATCTTTGTTTCATCAGGCCAGAGCGTTTTGTTTCTTATGTCTAAGAGTCCCTCGATTAGCTTTTGGCAAACTCCAGGCAGGCTGCCATTTGCCTTTTACTGAGGAGTAGCTTTTGTCTGGCCACTACCATACAGGCCTGATTGGTGGAGTGCTGCAGAGATGGTTGTTCTTCTGGAAGGTTCTCCTCTCTCCACAAGAAACGCTGGGAGCTCTTTCTGAGTGACCATCGGGTGCTTGGTTACCCCTCCCTGGCTAAGGCCCTTCCCCTTCCCTTCAATCTATCATTTAGGGCAGGTGGCCCGCTCTAGGAAGAGTCCTGGTGGCTCCAAACTTTTTCCGTTTACAGATGATGGTGGCCACTGTGCTCATTGGGACCTTCAATGCTGCAGACATTTTTCTGTACCCTTCCCCAGATCTGTGCCTTGATACAAGCCTGTCTCGGAGGTCTACGGACAATTCCTTGGACTTCATGGCTTGTTTGTGCTCTGACATGCACTGTTAACAGTGGGACCTTCTATAGACAGGTTTATGCCTTTCCTAATCATGTCCAATCAACTGAATTTCCCACAGGTGGACTCCAAGCAAGTTGTGGAAACATCTCAAGGATGAACAGTGGGAACAGGATGCACCAGAGCTCAATTTTGAGTTTCATGGCAAAGGCTGTGAATACTTATGTACATGTGAAATTGAAAAGATTTCAAAACGAACTTCTTTCACATTGTCATTATGGGGTATTGTTTGTGAAGAATGTTGAGGAAAAAAATGAATTTAATTCATTTTGTAATAAGGCTGTAACATAACAAAATGTGGCAAAAGTTAAGCGCTGTGAATACTTTCTGGATGCACTGTATTTAGCTATAACTATTATTGAATGTGGTTTTTTTTTTGCCCAAATCTGTGTCCCAGATCCTTGTTCTGGAGCAGGGAGATGAAAGCTCTTCAAGACTTACTACCTTGGAACGGACATACACATATGAGAATTGAAATGGCTGAACCTTTGCACAGAAATTTTGCTTTATTGCAGAGCCATACTTAAGTAAATTTGTTGAGAGAAGCATAGAGAATGCTGTTGCTCATCCTGAAATGATTAAGTGGTTGTAAAGTCTGTCCCAGTTCTCTGTTTCCTCATTGGCTCACTGATCACAGCCAGTGAGGAGTGAGCACGGACAAGTGCCCCCATAGCAAGTGCCTTACTCTGGGGGCAGAGCATTGTCGGAGGATTGAGTCTGCTCTGCAAAACCCTTGCACAGAACAGGTATACATGTTTTTGTTTTTTTTTTAACCACTTGCCCTCCAGAGGATTTACCCTCCCTGCATTTTTTGTGATACGGCGCTGTGTTGCTTTAACTGACAATTGCGTGGTCATGCAAGGCTTTACATAAATGAATTCTGTCCTTTTTTTTTTTTTTTTTTTTTTTTTTTTTTTTTTTTTCCACAAATAGACTTTCTTTTGGTGGTGTTTGATCACTTTAAGGCAATATTTTTTGCGCTATACACAAAAAATTACTGAGAATTTTGAATAAAATATATCTATTTTTTTTTACTTTTTGCTATAAAACCTATCCAATAAAAAAAATTTAAAAAATCAAATTTTGTCATAGATGTAGGCCAAAATGTATTCTGCTACATGTCTTTGCTAAAAAAAAAAAAAAAAAAAAAACCCAATACATGTAAAATAATTGGTTTACTTGAAAGTTATAGCATCTACAAATAGTGGTGTATATATACTAGAATTTTTTTTTTTTTTATACTAGTAATGGCGGCGATCAGCAAATTATACTGGGACTGCGGCGGGCATTCTGACACTTATGCTGAACCACTGGCTTCACTATTTCATTATGCAGACATGGAAATCTGACAATATTCATATGTCTTTATTTGCATGTTTTCCAGTGTTAATAGGGTCTGTACTGGCTAATAACTAGCAATTTCAGAAGGAGTGGTCAGAAATGGCAGAATGTTTTTTATCATGACAAGTTTCCTTTTTAATGTTTTATTTGTGGTCTTGATCATGCATTGACGGACCACAGGATTCAGATATAGTCTGGTTTTATTGCAGCCCACAGGAGGTTAGACACAGATCAGCAAAAAAATTTTAATCCAGCCTCTGTATAACCCTTTCTGTATCTAGCATGCTGTAAGTTTTGCTGGTGCCCTAGAAGGTTTGGTGCCTATTCTTACTGTTTTTTTGCTAGCTTTTTTTTTTTTTTTTTTTTTTCTCCATTAATTTTTTTATTTTTCTGGAACTTATCTGGTTCAGCATTTGATCAGCACTAGGTTTGGTAGGCCATACTCTGACCCCACTGGCCTGGATGTGTGGGTTTAGCCTGGAATGTGACCTTGGGGTACTGGTTTTATGGTGCGTTCCATGCCTGAGTTTACTGTATTTGCTGCAGAGTGCTTTCTAGTTCCAGAGCCATATCAGAGCCTCAGATGTGTCCCTGTTACATTGCTGAGTGCCTTTTTAAAATTCCCTTCACCATTGGTTTCACCATGGTAAGTGTTAAAGCCTAGGGATGGAATGCTGACGTTCTTTGCTTGGTGGAACAATGAACACGTGAGTACCAAGAGGTACTGGGATCTACACTGTGGTTCCTTCAGACCTGAGTGCTGTGTTAGCTCCAGAGCGCTGATAAGTGTTAAAGCAGAGGGATGGAATGCTGGCGTTCTCTGCTTGGAACAATGAGCAATTATGCTCTATGCTCTTTCCTGTTCAGCTTTCAGGAATCATCATTGTGGTGTTCCTCCTGAAGCACTATATGGATCACTGGTCTATTTTCAAGCCCACCCACAATGACTTAGAAACCTCCAGCCCCCTGAAACCTTTATCAGCACCAGCTGCCCAGGCTTGTGAGTACCTGAGACCTTGTCTCACATTTGACCAAGTTGCATTATTGCTACATGAAAACAACCTGTCTTGTCAGGTTACCTTGACCCATTCTCCCCTAGTTGTTCTGGGAAGTTTATTCGGTATCCCCAAAAGGAACGAACATAATCTGTAATCTAGAACCTGGAATCCCTATTGGCAATAGTATGGTCTTTGTGGAATCTTCCTCAGTTTCTTCAGTTGATTCCTCCTCATGCCTATTGACACCTCTGTGTCCATTCTGGACTTTATAGCTGCCAGTGTATTCTTCCTGCAAAGGCTTTCAGTGTGCCTGTTGTCTGGCATGTTTGAGGTGCTTGGGAAGGTCAGAGACGTTATACCTACAGGGGATGGTGACAAAGTGTGCTTAATGCCTCTTCATTGTGGAATGCTGAGTAGATCTGCTCTGAAAAGAGTCAGCCTTTTGGATCCTTGCACTCGACACCCTTCCAAAGGGTCTGACATCTGCAAGATTAGGCTAGGTGGGGCCACGCAGATGTCTTTCGGTACCTATGCGCCTCAAACCTTCACTATAAACATCTGTTCCCTGTGTTCCATTAAAAT